CTACCGCAGGGGCACACGGCACAGGGGCACACGGCACAGCAGCCTTACTTGTTCGTCGTGTGTCTGTTTGAGAAGTTGTTCTAAGGCTAATTTCACACGGTTAAAAGTGTCTAATTCTTTTGCTAATATTTCCTGCTGTTCAAAAATCTTCTTCAAACTGGATGCAGAAAGATTAACCTGATGAAATAAAAGAAGCACATATGCACATGTTAAGACAACACTAAGTAAAATACACTAAAATGGTATCAGTAAGGAACTGTTTCCTAGTGTCAGTTGTAATCATTATTTTGTGTGTAGTATTGGTGAGCCCTGGCAAGTTTACCCATAGTAGACAGGATGCACTATGAAGTATGTTAAAATAAAATAAGCTGGACAACTCCACAGCTTTGCAGTATTTGTTATATTAAACGATAGAGTACTATCTGTTCTTGTCCCAAATGGAGTACAGCCATCTTCTGCTCCAAATGACACCACAGAAAATAGGTAAAGGCATCTCTCAGAGTTTTATTTTTTTTAAGATCTATTTATTTTTATTTGATATAAATGAGTATTTTGCTTGCATGTTTGTATGTGAACCATGTGTGCCTGGTGCCCATGGGATCTAGAAGAGGGCATCAGATCTTCTGTAACTGGAGGGGACGGTCTTCCAGAAGAGCAGCCAGTGCTGTCTCTCCAGCCCGCAGTTGTGGTTCTAAATGAATTCTTCAGAAAGTCTCCTTCTCTCTTTCGAGGTCAGGTAAAGCCACACATCAATCTGCAGTTTCCAGCTCAGTCTCTTACTAGGTACATGTCTGAGAGATTTCTGCCTTTTAATGGAAGGAATAAAGAACACTGTCCCCCAACCCGATTTTTGGTATCATGTACCCATATGTGGGCATTCCCATTAAGATCTGAGTCCCTAGTCAGGTCATGCTGAATGTTATGCTTGCTTTCCATGTCATTACCCATTCAAGTCTAACACTCACATTTTCTAAACTAATTCCTTCCACAGTGTTCTTAAATAATGGCAAAAGTAATTCGACTGAACAGGATGCCGACTCAGCTTCCTTAAGCGTGGCCTCCAACTCCGTCTTTTCATTTACGCTGTCTTGCTTGAGGCTAATAACAGACAAATAAACTTTCAGTTACTTCTAACACAAAAACTGGAGACTTTTTAATGTACAATAAGAACAGACAAGCCTGCCTGTAGACTGCCATTAATTTGATTTTCAGATGCCCCTAGGGGAAGCCTTATCATCAGGACTATAGGTGTCCAGGCCAAATGTGGGTTGAGAAGAAGCAAAAAAGAGGTGGGCCTGGGATACAGAAGATAATAATTCACTTTACTCACATTCTGCATTTATGGAATCATAAGTTATGAGCAATTTAAAGTTATCTATAGGGCTGGAGAGGCAGCTCATCAGTTAAGAGCATTAGTGTTCTTCCAGAGGAACCAGGTTCTAGTCTCAGCACCCACATGATGGCCCACAACTGTCTTAAACTCTCTCGTTTGGCCTTCATTGGCACCAAGTACACACATACATGGAGGCAAAATTTTCATATATATAAATCAAATACATCTTTACATTTTTAATAAATAAAAAGCTATGATAACTAAACTTTAAAGAAGCTTTAGCAGTATGTATAAACAAAACAGCAAGTTCTGTGAGAGCATTGTGCCCTTCCGTACTCAGCACTGTTTCTTTCTTTACAGACGTCATATTTACAACTGATGGGGCAGGAAGAGGCTCAGCAGGGGAAGGCTCAAGCCGTGCAGCCTGGAGATCTGCTAAGACCCCGGACCGCATGGTGGGAGGGCAAAACAGACTCTGAGCATTGTCCTCTGACCTACACAGCACAAATCTCACACACACACACACACACACACACACATACACGAAAATAGAATTATTGGCATCTTACATATATGTTAAGGAGAAAATTTTGTTCTTAAATACCACTGGCTTAAAGTAAAAAGTTTATGATAAAAAAACTGTCCTTCATTCAAAACCACGGTCCGAAAATCAACAATTATATTTGATGAAACACCATCTTCTACTTTCCACCAGCTAACCTAGACACTAGACTATATTACCAATAATGATAATAACAACATTTTAAGTTACATATTTAAGATTTACTCTATTAACTCACACAAATAACAAGTAATTTCCAATTCAAACAAAGCAAAACAAGATAATCATTTGTTACACAATAATATACCAGGCAATAATATTTGTTTTACAAAGTTTTAATAGGTTTGGTTGGCTTTCCTATTGCTTTCATTAAGAATAAAAACTTAAACCATACACCTGTAATCCCAGGGTAAGTAAGGCCCGAGGGTTCAGCATCACCCTAAGCTGCACAGTGAGGTCTTGTCTCAAAAAGTAAGGCAAACAAACAAATAATAAAAAATATAATAAAAAGACTGGCAACTGCTCTAAATTGCTAAATAAGTACTTTTATAACTAGGTTATATAGGTATATTTTAATGACTGAAGACTACATGTGAGAAGGATATTCCTGACTGACTAGTGCACTTGATCTGGAAGTTAGGAAATGAGGTTTGGATACCTGCTGAGGTGGCTCCCACTAGCACACTGTAGGACGCGTCCTCTCTCCGGTGTGAGATACGACAAGGTTCCCTCTGAGCGACTTCCAACACTAGTAGGTATCTCCATCAACTCAGTAGCTCTCTTCTAGGTGCTTCAGCAACTTTTCCACGGATGCTGAAAGCTAGGGACCGTATGTTATCACACATCATTTCTTCCTGCTGGTACCCTCTGAGATAAAGACCCAATCATGTATAAAACGTCTCAAAGACAATATCAAAATCACAACTGCTGTCTGGGCATGGTTTCACATATCTTTAACCTTAGCACTTGAGAGGCAGAAGCAGGCAGCTTTCTGTGAATCTGAGACCAGGCTGGTTTATTCAACATGTTCTATGCCACTCGAGGCTACTTAGTGAGATCCTATCTTAAAATATATATATTTTATATATTAGGATAGTGCTACTCACTATCCTACTCACTATCCTACTCACTATCCTACTGACTCAAAATAGTATCAAAATTGCATTGTACAGTAAGTTACCAATTTCAAGTTCCATACACATTTTTAAAGGTTTGCTATTATCACATATTAATAATATATGCTATTATATATATACATATATATACATATGGTTACAAAAATCTTTTTTTAAAGATGATTTTTAATTAGGCATCTGTGAGTGGGTATGTGCATAAGAGTTCTAGGGATTGGGGACACAGAAATCAGAGTCCCCTTGAGCTGGAGTTACTCAGGGCTTGAGAGCAACCCTACATGGGTTTGAGAACTAAATGTGGATCCTCTGCAAGGTCAGTAAGTTGCCTTAACCACTGTGCTATCTCTCCAGCCCCCAGTGCAGATATCTTTATTGATCTATTTCTTGAAGTATTATAGTAATTCCTCAATAATCACCAAACAGGACTAGAAAACAAACGTGCAAACTACAGGTTTGGAATAGTTCCATTAGGCCTCAGCAACAGACGCCAGTATTCCCACTTAGAACTGTACAAACACAACGTGCCTCTGTACACGCTTTTTTTTAAATTTTTATTGAGCTCTACATTTTTTTCTGCTTCCCTCCCTGCCTCCACACTCCTTCACCCTCTCCTAAGGTCCCCATGCTCCCAATTTACTCAAGAGATCTTGTATTTTTCTACTACCCATGTAGATTAAATCCACGTATGTCTCTCTCAGAGTCTTCACTGTAGTCTAGGTTCTCTGGAAATGTGATTTGTGGGCTGGGGTCATAGCCAGAACCCGGAAACAACCTAAATGTCCCTCAACCGAACAACAGATAAGGAAAATGTGGTACATTTACACAGTGGAGTACTACACAGCAGAAAAAAAACAACAACATCTTGAAGGTTTTCTACATTACTTTCAAATATTTATGATTTAGTCTTAGCTATCCATATCAAAATACATTATGCTCAAGAACCTTTCATAGTTTAGGTACATGTTAAAATGGTAGGTTGAAACTACTCATGATATTTAATTAGCAATTAAGAAATCTCCCAGATTACCTGCAAAAACTGCATTATATTTTGTCTGATGTTTCTATACTCAATGCAGCAACAAATATTTAGTAGCTAAAATTCAGGAGGAACAGTAGCCCAGAGAGCCCGTGCCACTCTCCCTGGATCTCTGGCTTCTGAATTATGCCACATCTGTTACCAAAACATCACACTGCAGAGAACACACAAGGCTATTTACAGCCCAGAAGA